ATTGTCCATTTGAATCTGCTGAGACTGCTAACCTAGCAATAAAAATAATGAACTAAACAAACAGAAAGAGCAACACCAAGTCACAAACAAATGCTAAAAGAGGGAGGAGTCTTGAAAATATTATTAGAATTCCAAGAACCAGGAAATGAATCACGGTTGCAATGAACTCTTTGTGAGAAATATCCAGAAGAGAAAAATACATGGGGATGAAAAAGAGGTTGCAGGGCTTGAAGAAAGGGAAGAATGGGGAAAATGACTCAATTGTACTTTGTAGTAATGGAAAAGATTTTTAACATTCATATGCAATCAAATCTAAATTCATTTTTTGAGAGAATTTTTTAAAGCCTAGATGTACTAAATAATTGCTAGAAATGACATGAAAATGAGAAGCTGAATGCCTGGTATTTCAGTTTCTCCTTCATATGACAGAACTCGATGGCAGAGGTGGTGTCTCTACATTGCAAATGTAATCATGGGCCCTAAATATTTTCCTTTAAAATTCTTAGTTTTATGGTAGGTGCATTTTAACAAAATGCACTAATTTTCCATAGACTTAGATATAATTCTACATGTTTGTTTTTTGTGTGTCTATTTTAATGAAGTGTTTCTTTATCTTGCATGTATCACTAGAATTCATTCTTGGTAGTTAATTGTGTCTATATTATATGCAATAAGTAATTGTTAAAGTTTATGATAAGTTTTGATTTCTAGAAGTTTCAAATAGTGTGCTAATAATATTTTTTATTTGCAAATTGCCAAACTTAAATATATGTGTTACACATAATGATATGCGTACAATTTATATGTGTATAATTTGTATTAATTTAAACATACTATGTAATTCAATTTATATAAGTATAATTTATATAATGTTATGTTGTATACACATAATAAATGATAGATACCTCTATAAAATATGTTTATGTTATATATTCATATCATATAAACTACAAATGTATATTATACAAATCATAACTGTATATGCATGCAATACACACAAACATATGCATATATGGCAAAAGGACTCCACTAACCCTAAGAGTTCTGGTAAATACTAACACTGTTTCTCTATATTTTCAGAAAATGAACTTTGTTCCCTAATCAATATAACATAAGAGTTTCAATGATTTATAAATTCACATTAGCCACTTAATATTTTAACTTTCCACAAAAATTGTAACCTTTTAATCTGAATATTTGTGCATCTGCTTCTTATTCTGATCAATCCTGGTCCCAATCCAAGAGTTTTCTCCCTCACTGTAGATGAGCCCTGTCTGATATTAGACAATCTGAGGCAAGTTGTCACTGATAAATTCATGTAGCATCCAAAACTGTAAAATTGCAGATACCTAAAAATAATTGTGTGATATACTACTGAAAGTGTCACTCTGAAACCTTCCCTTTTCTATTGATTTTTGTTTTATTTCAGTCTATCCCTATTAATTCATTTAGGGATTACTATTGAATTTTGCTGAATTAGAAACTTGCAAAGTGCTTTCCAAAATGCCTTTTAATTTATGCCCCAACAGAGATGTAGAAATGTTTTTCTTTTCATTACCTCATCAATGCTTTGAAGACACCAAATTTGTGAGCATGGAAGAGTATTTGACACCATGTTACATCTACAGTAAAAATATTGTGGGTTCCAAGACTATTGCTCTCCTATCATTAGAGGATTACTGAAAATCTTGATAAAAAAAGTCAGTTTGCAAATATAACAATGTTAGTGAAGAAGTAGAGATATAGGGATAAAAGGGAAAATTCAACTGAAACTGATCTTTGAAAACTTATTTCATATGAAAATGAGGTGTGTAGGAGCAGGGCAAATTGTGAGCTCAATAGAGATTCCTCTCAGGCTCTCTCTCTCTGTCTCTGACTCTCTGTGTCATGTCTCTGTCTCCCTATGTCTCTGTGTCTCTCACTCTGTCTCTGTCTCTCTCTTTTCTCTATCTTTGTCTCTCTGCCTTCTAAGCAAGGCACTAAAGAAGGTGACATCTGTAGAAGCAAACCAGACTCACAGGGGTCAAGAAAAGCAAGAGACAGAGCAAGGTGGAGACCACATCTGTAGGAATGCAGAATGATGGGAGGGAGCTCAAGCCTGTTTTGGGAGGAAGCACACCTCCTAGCCAGTTCTACTTTAGTCTATAAATTATCCCCTCCCCCTCTGTTTAAACACAATAACCTTGATGTGTGCAGGTCAGAGAGGACTTAAAGCATAGGTTTTCTGCCTGCACTGTGGAAGACATAATGAAGGAGGAGGTAACCTGCCATCGGGAGCCAGCCCAGGAATATGCCCTGGAATCTGTTCACACTGTGTGTCTATACTGCAGGCTGTAATCAGGAGGCTGTGTCGACTCCATAAAGGAAGAGTAGACTCTGTGCTGGAGTCAGGAGCTGAGATGCTGGAGAAAATGTTCCAGCCTATTGCAAGAGGTTTTTCTTCTTCTTTGGATTAATTACATTGTGTGTGATCAAGCCTATCAGATATAGATATAAAATTAATTACAATTTTAAATATGACAGGCTATAACATACTATTTAGATTAAAGGACATGATACAGTATATTAACTATGGCAAATTACATGTCTGTGTGTACTTTGGGTATTTAATTTAGTATCAGAATCAATTTTCCTATTAGGTATTAAAGATACCTAATAAAGATACACAGTGCAGAAAGGAAATAGATGATATAGTTACTCCTGTGCTGAAAACAACACAGGGGAGATTGCCCATTGTCTTTCTTTCCAAACTCCTCAGCCCTGCAAGGTGGCACACACCTAAAATCCCTGCACTCAGGAGGCTGAGGCCCATGGTCACATATCAATCAAAAGGCATCACAGCAAAAAAAGGTCTCTGGTCCAAAAGTACCAGGGAGACACATCTGTTCTGTACAGACCGAGGGGAGCTCTGTTTTAATATTAGTTGGAAACAACTTTTGTAATTAATGCATCTTGGAAATACACTTTTTACACCTAATGGTATGTTATGTTTTTTTTAAATTTGGTTTTCCTAAGTGATGTATAATATTTTGCTCTTCATATATTAGCTAAAACATAAATTCCTGGATTAAATTTAACCTGGTATTTTGCTGTTTTTGTATATTGCTATGTTCATCAGTTTATATTTTGTTTAAAATTTTCACCTACATGATGCTTTCTCCATCTTTATGAATACTTTTTGAATAGTGGAAAACACATCTCCTGTTTAGCTATCCCCATGAATTTGTTTATTTCTTTTGCCTTAAGCCCTGAGTAGAATTCATGAATTTGTCTGCCTGGGGTCAAATTGGGGGTAGGGTAGAATGTGATTTTAATATAAATTTCAATTGTTAGTTCCTCTGTATTCATAAAATGCATCCCATTGAGTTTCTGAGGCTCAACTAAAGTAACCAATACATCACTCCTTATGAGCCTAAGCTCAACTATGCATTGGCTTATTACAGATATTCATAGAGTCCCAGGACTTTTTATTTAATTTCTTATTCTTAATTTTATTGAAATTGATGAAGCATTGTGTAAAATAATACATTCTATTTTCTCCTATTATCTTAGCAATTATTGCACTTATTTGTCAATCGGCATTTTGCAAATACTACATGGAAGGGCAAAAATTTAAAACTTTTCGATACAACATATAAATTATAAAATGGATATTGACTTCTAAAATCAAATAAATATGATGTATTATTTTACCTAAGCATATTTCATTTTGTTTATGCCCATTGTTTGAGATCTATTCAAATTCTGAACATTTGTTTTAGAAATAGTATATTAGAGTACATTAACTCACATTTTCACTTTTCAAATTAAAGTATTAGAAAATAACTATTCTAAAAGTAATAATTGGTGAAAGTAATTTGGGAAAATGAAAATTATTTTAAAATATATTAATTTATGTGTTTTCATACCCACCAGCAACTAATATTAACATTTCAACTCTGGCTTTGGAGATGCATTTTGTAGGAAATTATAATATTGTATTGTATATATGAACAAATAAATTGAACTGTGCTGCATATTTTGATTCAAATGAATTAGATATCTACTGCTTAATCCAATTAATAATTTTTATTGCCAGATGACAATATACATGGGCTTTTGTTCTTCAAATAATATCTTTATTCATATTTTAATATGTATTGACTCTATGCTTTCACTCACATATATATGTACACTGAATTACACCAAATTGCATGCTGTGCTGGACCGATGGCTTGTTGAATAGCACATTTTGTTGAGTGAATAGACTCTATTGGGTTAATATATGAACATAAATTCATTCATAAGAAAGCCATTTCATGCTAAGATCACAATATCAGCATAGTTACTTAGAACACTTGAGTATGTTCATATGATGTATTCTTTGTGATCATTCAGCTAAAATGAACCTCTTGAAAATGCAATCAAGTTTGATTGTAACACAACCACCTAGGAATATATGAAGCCCAAAGTAGTAAGATTGTACTCCCACAAAAACAGAAGCACAGACACAAAATCACACTTGGATACAGGAAAGTTTATTGTAATTAATGAGAATACCAAAAAAATTCTTTTTGCACTATGAGAGACTTAGGCAAGAGGGTCTGAGGCAAGTCTAACCTGAACAAATTAAAGACTTTTGAAGAACCTGTCTCAAAAAAATTAAGTAAACAAATACATAGATAAATGCTGGGGATGTAGCTTAGTGTGAAGGATGTAGGATTAATCACCAGTACCTCAAAGAACAAAAAAGGCTTTTTTCTCATCTTCTGTGCTGACTACTCCTTTACACTCCCACATAGCATTCCAGCTTTACTGATAGACCACACAATTGTAATGTACTAGAAAAACTCTTTGAATGTTACGCTAAACATTCTACCTAAAGAAAGGCACAGTTTTTAAGTGTTTTGTTCAGTGATGGATGCATTTATAACATTTTGAAGTTTAAATAGTACCACAAAGTCCAAACTTGGAAGATAAATGAAGTCAGCCTATGGAGGAGAACAATAGTATTGCATGACTTATATTGTATGTACCTTTAAAGAAAAATATTTTTGTATGTTTTTCCATGTTCTATGAAGAGCATATTTTACATCTTTGTTCCTCAAACTGTAGATCAAAGGATTCAACATGGGGATTATCAGGGTATAAAATATAGAAGCCACTTTGTCAGTGTCAAATGAGTGACTGGACTTGGGTTGCACGTACATAAATATCAGTGTCCCATAGAACACCGTGACCACGGTCAGGTGGGCCCCACAGGTGGAGAAGGCCTTGAGCCTACCCTCTGCGGAGTTCATCTTGAGAATAGCCACACAGATGAGCAGGTAGGACACGAGGACCACCAGAAGAGAGGAAATCAAGTTAAAAGCAGCTAAGATTAGAATTATTGTCTCAATTTCATAAGTATCTGAGCAGAGCAATGATAGCAAAGGGAGACTGTCACAGTAGAAATGACTGATGACATTGTATCCACAGAAGGACAAAGTAAAAATCATTGTGGTGATGAGAAGAGACACAAATGTGCAGTAGAGATAGGGAATTGCCACTAGTACCCAACACAGCCTTGGCGACATGATGACAGTGTAGAGGAGAGGGTGACAGATGGCCACATAACGGTCATAGGACATTGCAGACAGAATAAAAATCTCACTAATAATGAACACAAGAAAGAAAGACAGCTGTGTAGCACAAAAATAATAGGAAATTGTATTTTGATCAACCACAAAATTTACCAGCATTTTGGGTCCCACAACTGTAGAATAACCAAGATCAGTGAGAGCCAGGTGTCTTAGGAAAAAGTACATGGGAGTTTGCAGCCTGGGGTCCACCTGGGTGAGGATGATCATGCCCAAGTTGCCCAGCAGTGAGGTCAGGTAGACGATGAGGAACAGGAGGAACAGTGGAGCCTGTAGCTCAGGGCGATCTGTGATGCCCAGCAGAATGAACTCGGTCACCGCTGTGAGGTTGGGCCCCTCCATCCACATTTGCCACAAAACATATTCTAGGTATACATAGTAGAAAAAGTAATATATCTCAAGTATTTTCACATGGGAGGTTAATTATGCTGACCTAGTGTAATTAAGGTGTATCTTATCTTTCAAGGGTAGATTTTGTGATATTGATACATCATTGCAAGGAGATAATACAGAAGCAGACATGTAGTTATACTAGTTGTTCTCAAGAAAGGTGGTTTGAGTCACCAAAGAACACTTTCCATATTTAGAGATAGCTTGATTGTTACTAACGGAACATGCACTTCTGTTCTCTAATGTTTAGAGGGTAGTGAGGATACCAACCATCAGACTATTCCCAACTGTGCAGCCCTACACTTTAGCCAAGGCAATAACCTTGTTCTAAATGGAAAAGAAATTGAAATAATACATAAACAGGGAGTCAGATAGAGATACAGATGCAGATACATGGGACAAAATTATAAAACCTAAATATTGTGAAATCTGTGCATGGTAGCTAAAGGTGTAATGATGGTACTGTTCTTTAATTGTTGGCATTCATTTATATACTTAGAATCACACTGTAGTACTTATTCATTATAGTTAATGAAATGACATGATACATATGCCCATGACATATCTAGATTTTCTAATGATAAATTCCAAAATGAATAGATTGTTGCTTAGATTGCTGAAGCTACTATTTCAAAACCTAGTCCTTTAAAATGCATATATAGATAGGTGTTACAAATGAAATTTTTAACATGTATCATAGATGTATGAATAAAAGACTGTACACAAAACTTTTACTATGACACACAGTACCATACAGACTCACTGCATACACTAATTCTGAGATAGATGTGGATTTCTGGATGTGATATGGAATATTTCTGTACATCAGAGTCATAAGAAATAAATATGATAAGATATAACGCATAGAAATACATGTATAATAAAATGAAATATATCCAGATATCTTTAAAGGCCCAGAGATTTCAAAGAGTAACATACAAACAAATATATGGCATTTAAGGTAAGATAATTACTGCTGTAAAAAATTTTACCAATGTTTCCCAAAGTAAAACTAAAGGAAAGAAATAGAAATGGCACACTTTGTAATTAAAGTTGTTGTAACAATATTCTGTTAAGTGTAAAGAAATGAAGTTACACAGTTTCACAAAATTAAATATAAATCAGAGTAAATATCACTTAGTTGCTGTAAGACTTGTTGTGTTACATAGAACATTGCTGGTACCGCTGCAGATACCTGGTGTCCAAACTTTCCCTTGTCTCCCACCATTCATAATTTAGACTTAGGAAAATATTTAGCAATCACAACACTAGAAGACTGCTTTTAATAAAACCACTCAGAGATAAATTTTGTTTTGTTGTCTTTGGTTGGCTTAATTTGGAATCATGCAAGTTAAGAAGGGTAAAACAAAGAAAAGTTAATTGCCTATTTTTCTGTAAGGAAAAATGAAAAACATTTCCTCTCACCTCCCTTGGTGAGCAATGGAGTAGGGAAACTTTTTTTCATAAATAATTACCTTTATTGAATATTTGAATTTTATTTTTTAAATATTAAATTTATTCAGATCCCTTTGCAAAATGGGAAACGTTTTACCATTGCAATAAATTTGGGTCCCTGAAAACTCTTAATCCTCAACTAATGTTTTTCACTTCTTAATGTGAAGGGGAAACTCCTTCTTCCAAGATTCAAACACTGTCATGTTTATATAGTTACTTACCTAATCATTGTATTTTATTTATTTCTGTAAGACCCTCCAAAAACCTCACAGAATAAATTAGTGTTGGAAGGATGTCAGAATGGGATATTGAATCCCTGGAGTTGCAAATTCTGCCTTTCAGGAAATCTCTATGGCCCTTTATTTATTCTTCATCTCATGTCACTTTTGGTCTCCTGTAGATAAGACACTAAACATTAAACGCCTCTATATACATACTCATAATGCAGAAAATTAAATGTTTTATATGCAAGCATAACATGCTTTTCCAGTACTTATACTCTGAAAGTATTTGAAAATTTTCACGAACCAAAAGGAGAGTTGCTACTGCTTCTCAGGAACTTATGGGGCAAGAAAAAGCACACAAACTGAGTCACACATGGTCACCTACCTTGGATGGCAAAGGCTTATCAAACTGACCATTTGTGTAGATGTTGGTAATATGTAGCAATGCCTCCAAGCTTCTATATGTCACCTGTAATTAAAAATCTCTCCTGGTTTTCCCATGTGTTTCTTAACAGTGATTTTTTCAAGAAAATTTATGGATTCTTTTTAACCTTTTGAGACTATCCCTGAGGATATGCCAAGCAATTGGTTGATTATCCCTAAAGCATGTGAGAACTTAATGAAATGTCTGGAGATGGTCCTCTAATTGTCAGGGACATTGTGGATACACTGCGAGCTCATGTATTAATTGACTGAATGGCCCAGCAACCCAACTTCTGTGTTTTAGCTAAAAGAATTATTACTAGAGCCTTAAAAACATAGTAGAATCTTCATGTTTATTGTACTAGAATTCAACATAACCAAGATGTGAAAAAAACTCAGATATTTGTTGATAGAATAATGGATAAATAAAATATGGATTATAATACAATGAAACATCAGTTAGTCTTCAATATGAATCCTTCAATATGTGATAATGTAGATGAATCTGTAGAACATGATGTTAAAAGAAATTACCCAGTTACAGAAGGACAGATGCTAGAGATAACTCCAATTGCATGAAGTATCCCATATACCCAAAGGTAGAAAGGCAGATAGAAGGGTACAAGTTGCAAAGGGCTAAGACTGGGGAGAAATGAGAAGTTGTTCATAAATAGTCATGAGGACACAGGAAAACTGAGTAAGTTTCAGGAATGTGTTTTAAATGTTGTGTCTATAACTACAGTAAGTCCCTGATTTACTAACATTATAGTCACAAACTTTCACAGATACAAAGATATCATATTAGGAACATTCACAGATGTGAAAAACTTATGAAGTAGCCCATGTTTCTACCTTACCATTTTAAGGTAACTTTAAAAGTAAAGATAGTTTACTTACAGCGTTTATGAATGTGTTTTGGGTTTTTTTATACTTCACACAGCATATTTGCGACAAAGGTGTGTAATACTCACTTTGTAGGACTCACAAACAAACCCTACCTACGGACATGTTCCCTGAATGGGAACTCATTTGTAAATCGGGGACTTACTGTACTGTATCACATGTTTGAACTTAAGGATGTAGATTTAAGCAAAACAAAATAATTTTTTAAACATACTATGTGAGGTATGAATCTCAAAAATATTTTTTAATTCAAACCATCCAGGACACAAATGTCATCTTTAATATGAATTTTATATGAAATACACAGAATTTTAAAAAAATACATAGAGATGTAACACGGGCTGACGAAAGTGAAGAAAAGAGAAAAAATTACTTGCTGAGGTTTTGTATTGATGGAAATGTTTTAGAACTGGAGAAAGTTGGTTCTTGCACAACATCATGAATCTGGTAATTGTATCAAGAGTCAAAATAGTAAATTTTAAGACATGTGGATTTTAACTTAATAAATTACATTAATTTTGCTGAGAAATGGTTATCACATTTGCCTTATTTTTAATTAAAGTACTTAATTTTATATTTTGCCATCTAATTTGTATATTTTTGTCTGGGAGTTTAACTCAGGGTCTTGACACAGTGCCAAATCGTGAGCCTTCTTTTTATTTTTTTTATTTTGAGACATGGTCTCTCTAAGTTTCTACATTACCCAGGCTAAGCTAAAACTTGTGATCTTCATATCCTTGCCTTCCAGAGGGCTAGGATAACAGTAGTGCACTACCATGCCTGGCTAGCTGCTGGAATTCTTGGTAATGCATTTTGTCTCTTATGTGCATAAAATTTTCAATTTATTTAAATTAGTCTATGATAACTTCAGCTCTATATAAGTTTCAAAATTAGTGGGATCACAGCAGTGTCTTTCAGAAATTATACAATTTTGTCAAACATATGATAACTTAAGGCAATTCTACTAACCTTATGAATTCTGATAAATAGAGAAGGATAACTGTATGTTTTCATACATTCTATTATATTCATTTCCTAATGCATATTATGTAAGAATACAATTGCCTTTATATATTTTGTTATTTTGCCATTTCTGGGAACAAATACTCAACACCTACAACTTAGAGCAATTATATTATCCCTATCATCAAATTTAAATGCTTCAAATAACTTTAATTGATGAATGTGTTGACAGGTTGGTGCTACAGAAGAGTCTAAGATAACTTTTCCCTTTCAGCTGGGAATTAAAGCAAAACGCGAGGATGGATTATTTGGACATTTTTAAGGCAATAAAACTAGAGAAATCGAGCTGGGGATTTAGCTCAGTGGTGCAGCCACCTTCCTCACAAGCACAACATCCTGGGTTCAATCCCAAGTACCAAAAAAGAAACAAAAAAGCTAGAGAAATGGTATGAGATATGTAATATCTGAAATGTTTGCTAGATTCCATAGCTATGGCATGAATTTTACCAAATGACTTTCCTATTCATGAAACATAATGTACCGGAGAGCTGACCATGTCAAATGTTTTCTTATGCTCTATTGTTAGATTCATGTTGATCCCTACTTTGATTCGTCCCTATCAGGAGAAGGAACACGGGCACACAGATAGGACTTCTCTTATTTACCTAGGCACATGTAAGTTCAGTACTTTATCTTGTTTTCCAGAAAATAGTCGACGCTTACTTGTTACGCAGAACTTGGAGCAAAGCAGAGTTTGAGAAATACATATGATTTACACATGAAATAGGCAATAATAGACTTTAGCCTAGGGTGTCTAGTAATTATTATAATTAGTACAAAAAAATGTCCTTACAGGTTTAGATTTTGTCTTCTGAAACATTCTTCAAATTATCAGAAATTCTGTCTGTCCCAAGAAACAGCAGAATCAGGTTTGAGTATAATTTGATGAGGACTAGTTTACACTGTGATGAGGACTAGTTTATACTGTGA